ATCAGCCCCCTGCAGCCGGTCAACCGCCTGCTCTGTCACACAGATTATGCAAATGATATGAAACGTTACCAAAAAAAAAAAAAAAAAGTACGCAGATTCATAGGCAAAGGGAAATGGCTGAAATGGACCTGTGGCAATATCAAGACCAAGAAGTGAATCATTACTGAGATAGAGCAGAGACAGGAGTGTGTAGCTTCATGGCTCAAAGTGTCACACAGATTCAATTTGAAGTTATTGAGATGTGGGAAAGCTGTGACTCTTTTCTGGCTCTTGGTTGCGAGGAGGTCCTTGGGATGATGACAGGCCAATTTGGTAATCCTACAGCAAGCAGAGGAAAGTATGATAGCAAAACAATTACAGACTATTCCTGCCTCATCTAATCTTGACTGTAGAACGACTTTGAGTCATCCGTAAGTGTTTGCTCATGTATAGCCAATGTGCCCAACAGTATTTCCATTAAAGGAAGACTTTCTATTACAAATGACCATTTTACACAAATTTATTAGCAATATTTTAACATTTCAACATTAAGTCTATGGTTTCTTATCTTTGTGAGACCTTTGACATTGTTTTAGTGAAGTAAGAAAGTAGATTTTTAGTAATATTACTTTTTTTATTCTGCTACCATGAGCACAGAGAGAGAGCTCCCAATGGATTCTATAGAATTGATGACATATATCAAAGTATTGCAGCCTGCAGCCTGCAGCCAGTCCTCTGACTCTGTGTTGCTGCCTTTAAGCCTTGAGCTAAATGTAATCTCAACATGCTAACATGAACTCAAGGGCAATTTAATTTCCTGATGTTTACCACGTATGTCAGCACCATCTTAGTGCAGCACGTTAAGCATGGGACATGGATGTCAGTAACAAATTTCAAGACAAGGCCATTCAGTTGTTGTTGAGACGAGCTACAATGTGAACCTCATGGTGGCAGTAGTGAGGGGATCACCACAGACATCAGGATTTATCATCTGGGAACCATGACTGCACAAGATTTCCACGGGAATCCATCCAATCGGTTTGGAAATATTTCAGTCTGGACCAAAGCATTAGCGTTAGCATTAACAGCTGGTTACTTACCAGTCTAGAAGAAACTTTATTCCTTTACTCACGAAGAGCTGCCTCCAGAGGTGGAAAGCAGTGGCAATGTTAACTGTTGTTTTTGCTTCTATTTCTATCACTTCTTTCGTAAGTCCAGTTGCCCTTGATTCAACTCTTCTTGGATACAGCTAAGTGCATCAACAAATCTGCAGGGTAATTAAAAAGAATTAATAAATGCAATTTAACTCACAACGGAAATTTGGTAACAGTTCAAAATGTCCTTTATGAATTGAAGAGCTCCATTGCTTTAGAAAATTAGGATCAGATGCAACTAATTTGAAAGGTTTATCTAATACATGTGTGGTTTGTCTCTTCTGTGAAGTAAATCAAACTTAAAAAAAAAATACAGAGAAACTAACACTTGGAAGTACTGATGAACTGTTTTGTAAGATTGGAAATAACAGTCAGAGCTTTCCACAGCCTCATGAGGATATATATTATATATTTCTGGCTTTATGTCTGTCTGTCTTTATATGTTGTGGGCGCCTCAGATACTGTCTGATACCGTCCCCATATTGTTTAGCCAAAGGCGGTAATCACAATGTTCTAATTGGAACATCTGAATGTGTCAAAGTGAACAAATGGACGCTCATTGTCTAATTACAAAGCTCTGAAAGCATGACATTGCACAACTTCGCTCGATAATAACAGTGTTGACAAAAAGCTCGGAGTGGCTCTGAATGTCTGTTTATGTTAATACACTCTGGTACAGCATTTTTAATTTATGAAAGCCACATCTTTGTGTCGCTGGAGCGCATTCAGGGCCTTCGCCATCACTTGCATTTTGCTGGTTTACTCATTTGTTTAACTTACTCAGTAAAGGCCACTTAAGGGAGAACATAACAATATCAAATGGGCTTAGTCAGCAGGCTAGCAAATGATCACTGCACAAAAAATCTCAGCAAAGCAAACAAACAGGTCCCTCTAATGATTTCCCATAAAGCCATTTATATATTTGTAAATGGGCCAGAGTCACACAGGACCTGGTTCATATGCTATTGACTATGAGCGGTAATGTGGTGCAGTTGTAAAGCAGCATGGTCACGCTGTGCTAGTTTTTACAGATTTATTTAGCTTTACTTCAATGCACCCATCAATACAACACCCGCTCCATGTACGCTCAAAGATTTTTATTCACTCTCATCAATACCACGTCCTTACTGTGGGTTTATTGTGTTGTCACTACCCGTGACTTCTGCCACTCGTCTCCGTCTCCATCGAACCTGTGAAAACATCGAGTGTGAATTCCCCTTGGACCAGATGGGAGCTTGTGTGAGTCAACGAGACACTCACAGCATTTTTCATCTTAAATGTTAAATAATATTTGATATTTTAAATGCAGATTCATTTACAAATGAACCATTTTTTTATCCAACTTTCTTCTGTCCTAAGTTTTTGCTGTTGTTATTAGAAATCCACACCTGACCTCAGCATTATGGCCTCTAGTTTTGATTCCAGTGATGTGCTGTCATTTTAATGCAGAACTGATATTCAACATATGTACAGCACCAACTAATACTTCTATTGATAGCATACAATGTACAGTCGTTCTACTACTATTTAAATTATTTCTAGTATGCTTATCATCTCAAAATCTATAGAAGACATCACGCACAACTATTTTAACATAAGACACAAAGGGATAAAAAAAAGTTAATTTAAGTAAATTTAGCAAATTAAGCCATTGAGATTAAAAATGCCTCCATGATAAGTGTCCATAAACAGTTATATACAGTAAGATAGTTTGATTTACATAATGTTCAGGAGGCATTGCCCAACAGTGAAAAGTAATATGTTGGCTGCATATACATGTATATGTGTGTATATACAAAAAGGCAAATCTTTGTTTTATGGGTCCCATAATTTCCTTTTATTGTCTTTGTAAGTTTCTTGTCAAGAACAATGTAAATACTGGGACGGTAGAGACAAAGTTCTGATGACGTGATGACGATTTGGAAATCAGCTGCTGTAAATGAAATCCATGTAAATATTCAGTCATCATTAATTTGTTATTGGAAACTTTATTGTATATATGTTGAACTGAGGTAACACGTGTTGTTTTTCCTTTTTAATTACCAACAACTTTCACCGTTTTTCTCCAGGGACTCTCCTTTGATTTTATAGTTAAATGTCAGTTCTTTTTTTAAGAAATTACAGGAAGTATTAGCAAAAACGGGGGGAGCCTGGATTTCTAAGATGTAAAATAGTTTCCTGCCTCAGTTCCTGAAAGCATTTATGGCAAGAAGAGCAACAAAGAATTCCTAAATCAGACCAAGGCTTTGAGATCATTACTGCTCATGAAATAAATGAATAGGTTACCATGAATGGGAATAGCTATGTTGTTACAACCTCTGTCACTGGGGAAGGGTGCAGCGCGCTGTAGATACGTCAGGGAAAATTCAATTATGGCATTCTTTAAAGCTGCTGTAATCAATATTTTACTATATCAATACATTATATTAATAATAAAGAGGATTAACTTGAATCTGTAGTTTCCTTCAGCTGCACGGAGGATTTTTGGATCTTTCTGCTCATTGTTTTGGATTTTCAGCGTGCACCTTTTAATGTTTTGGTTCATCCTCAACGCTCTCATCAGGATCATTTTCAGACGCAGCATTTTATATGTTCATGTGTTTACGCTACCTGCCCAGCAACAAACAGCAAGACACACAGTGTCAGCAACAAGCAGTCGAACGTAGTGGAGCATTTAGCTGCTAAAGAGCAAGATATTTCCCTCAGGAGTTGATAGCTAAAACTAAAAAGGAGAGTGAATACTTTGATTTGTGTGGCGGACAGAAACACGCCTCCAAAGGAACACTAACATTGTTGTGTAACTGATGCATGTGTAAATTAGCTGCTCCCAAACGGCCAAAAATCAGTTTATTCAATTTTAAGTGACTCAAGTGGTGAAGGGTGAATCATAATTGTTAATAAAAGGAATCAACTTCCTAAACTCCCATAATTTAGTGAGCACAAGATAAAGCAAACAAGTATGAGGCTACACCTTGGCCTTGTCTTGGTTCATAAACCTGCAGGAGCCGTCGCAAATGTTTCTGTTGTGGCAGCAGAAGCAATCTATGATGATCTGAGTGGCCTCGTTATCTCAGTGTTATTGGATGATACAGCGGTGGGTGTTAGGATTGATGGGGGTCAGGGAGTGGAGGTCAAGCAACAAACTCTGAGCACCTGGTTCACAAATTTGTCGCCAGAGCCGGAGGCACCGGGGATCCTCTGGAGTTTATTCATCCCTCCAGTTATCTTCCTCCAGCTTACACACACATCTCCTTCATCATATCTCCACAATGTCAGGAGTTACAATCTAAACATTTCTTCACCTCAGGTGTCTTGGTTGGAGTTAACACTAATACCTCACCGTCTCCCTCCTTACCTTTTCTATTTTTTTTTTTTCCTATTTCTATTTCAAATTGTTGCTTGAGGGTTCTTGCAGCCACAGGCCACGGCCCGTGTTGTGTTTTAAAGCTAATCGCTGCAATCACAGATCAATACTTATAAATCTTTAACCTGCACTGTATGATTTCATCGGTGATCCGACCCTGCAGCTTAGAGAGGCCGCTTCCTGCCCACTGGAAAATACCCATTTTCTCATTCATTGCCTCGGGTTGTGCTCTCTCTCTCCGTCCCACCTATGTTGTCCATCTCCTGAAGTTGGCTGAACACTCTCCCACCACCGACGCTTTGCCTGACCGCCTAAATCCAGCTAATCAACCCTATAAATCGGAATTGACGCAATGTTCCTGTTACTCTGTCTGCTTTCTCCCTGTAGACTGGACCCAGATCCCATAGCCTCTATTTCCCAGATCCTCCCGCTGTTGAACCCTGACTCCTGTTTTCTACCTGCTGGGCTCCTGTTTGTCCCCGCCTGTCTGGGTGTGCTGAGCGATGAAGATCCCTCTGTGGTGCCTGGTGGTGCTGCTGGCATGTCTCTTCACCCCTGGACGCAGTGACTGCCAGGGGGAGTGTGTGGCCTGCGGTCTGCTCATGCAGCAGCAGCAGCAGCAGCAACAGCTGCAGCAAGCCTTCAACACCATGGTGAGTACGTGTGTGTGTGTGTGTGTCACTGTTAGTCATTGTGAGTCTCTGTTGATAAAAGCTTCTGATAAATACTTTGTCAAAGCTGTAGTGTGAGTGGTTACAGCTGCAACAAGCCCCAACACCTTTACAGAGGTGTGTTTGTGATTGTTAATACAGGAGTAAAGGGCAGTGTGATTATTGTGTATTTCCCATGCAATGATTTTTATTTCAAGATTCATTTAAGAAACATTTAAAAACACAGGAAGAAGAAGAAACATTTAAGATTCTGCACTGCTCTAGGTCAGACATAAAATTTAAGTCAATTTGTTTGTCTCTGTACAAAAGGTCAGATTTCCTTGACTTGTAACCTGTCCAGTGAAACATGTTCAAGTGACACAGGTGGATCTGATTTACTCATCAGAGACTCGTCCAAGTAACACAGTCAGCCACCTGTTATAAATAAGGCTGCACCTCAAGTTCCCAGCAGGTCATTGCTCACTAAGTTGCATTGTGATGCAATGAGTGAAATAAGTGGGACGAGGGGACTTTCTTAGTGTTAGTGTGAAATTAAAATTTGGCCAGTTGATGGCGCCAGAGAAAAACTCAGGGGACCACCAAAGTTTTTACAAATAAACAAAATTAAAAAAAGGAAGACAAAGGTCTCAATTCAATTTTGTGCAACTCCATCTTGTAGATGTCGAGACCTTTTACTTAAAAAACAAAAATATTAATCTCCTGGTGGAACTCGAGGAAAAGTCTGAAGGTCACCAAAGTCAGTAATCTTCGTCCTCTGGTGATCATGAACGTCTGTGCAAAGTTTCGTGACAGTCCATCTAATTGTGTCGAGTTATTTTCAGCCCGACAGCTAACCTGGATATAGCTTCACATTTAACAGATGATGATCATTTCTTACCCAAAATTACTAGAACCGTACCCAATAGAATAGACCACAATAAATAAAAAAGTGAACCCTCTGGTAAGTTACACCTGTTGGTGTAGTGGTTATAAGAAGGTTTAATCAGTGAGGAACCCTTTAAGACTGAAGGGAGTTGAGCTAAAACAAACGAGCAACCAAAAATATAAAGGGTTCTTCAACAGTTGACTGTTTGGAGATACATGGTTTCACCTGGAGGGAAATGCCTTATTTTATTATTTGCATGTGTAAGTATCCACTAGCACTTGTGCAGTGCTTCGTGACCAACATGCGATAGCAGCCTCTGCACGGAGAGAATGTGATTGCTCTCTGAACTCAAACTAAAACTTCAGCGCAGCACACAATCTCATTTCCAAACAGCCAGAGACACATCAGCTGGTAAAAATAGTCTGTGGGCGTCCATGAATAACTATAGGACGGCTAATTTAGCTGATAATGATGCAGAGAAAGACAGCTGGGACCTTTTTGGAAGTTGTAATAGAACTATGTAATTGACTGCTGTGCAGTATCATCAGCCCAGGCTTACATCGGTGACTGACACATTTTATCAGCTCCTCATTGTGTTAGCCGCCTTCCCATTGAGCCACAGATGGAATCCACTGAGCAATTCCATTGTTTCCAGCCCAGACTGAAAGTGTGTGTGTGTGTGTGTGTGAGGCAGCCGGTGTTTATTATAATGTCAGGACCCATTGATTTATTCATGCAGGACCACACACCTGTGCATGCGTCCATGCACACACATTAACACACAGACATATAACACTGACCGTCCTCTGACTACATTCATTGCATAACGCTATTCTTAAATACATATGGCAGGTTTTGTTTGCGTTTGTGCTAATTATCTGTGCTGTGGCTGTTGTCTTTTGTAGCTCTGTGTTTCTGTAGCATTTGGCCAGGTGTGTGGAGGTGAGAGAGTAAGCAGGGTTTGAGCTTCTGTTTTTGTGTGTATAACGCTCATATACCTTCAGTGTCTCGCCCCTTTCTATGACAGCCAGCTCTTTACACTGCATCTTCGTTTCGCTGCTTCCTTTTGGTTAATTCTTCATGTGTGGGCTGCAGTCGGTCCCTTCGGTCAGACACACTCCCAGCTTGTCTTGTGACATATTTCCACATTTTCGAAATACTCGCTTTCCAAAGTATCTGTACAACTACATTAACGTTAAGGTCGGAGAAAGTTTATGGTCACAGCAAATTCACTAGTTCGATTCTAATGGTGGCCTTTACCTCCCCTGATCTGTTCACCCCCTAGATTTATGTCTGTAAGTGAGAACTTTTCAAGTCAGGTCAATTTTTATTTATGTAGCGCCAAATCACAGCTGAAATTGTCTCAAGGCATTTTTCAAATAGAGCACCCTTTATAACATTGATTACAGAGACCCAACGATTCCCACCATGAGCAAGGGTGGGTTGAGAGAGAGAGAGTGAGAGAGAGTGAGAGAGCTAATGTAACAACAAGCTAAACCTGATTCAGACCATAACGTTGTATTTAAAGACAAACTCTGACCTACCTCCTAATAAAATTAAAACCTTTGAAGCAACCTCACCCCTTTTTTTTTTTTTTATCCTTTTTTATCCTCTGGTCCTCACAAGCCTATAAATACATGGCTGCGTGCACCACACACACACACACACACACACACACACACATCGAGTATCACTCATAAACTCCTTTAGATTGCTCCATTGATCTGACGTGGAGAATCCCCTGGTGTGCTCATTTCATTTACGATGGATAATTAATTTCCGTTGATAGATTCACAGCGGAACTCCCTCTTCTCACATTCCTTTCATGTGAGCAGGTTTTCTGATAACAATGCAATTTATCTAATTTGAGCAAGATTTGACGAGTAAATGAGATTTGCTTCTTAACTCCAACTAAAATTTAAGTTGGAGGGCTCTGGAGTTTAAGAAGGAGAGAGAAGATCTCTGTATAGTTGCAGGTGTAGCCTATTTTCACATATATTTACCCTGTCAGAGGAAAAAACAAATGCTCTGTGTTTCTACATTTACGGGTATAAAATGACCTTATTTTGAGTTAGTCAGCAGGTTAAAAATATCAGCGAAATTATTCCCAGTTAGTCGAAAACCAAAGACTGAAAAATGTCGGTAAAAAAATAAGCTTTTTTATTAACAAAAATGCACTTCAAAACTTCGAATATGTCCTTACCTCCATACTGGTGAGCAAGCAGTGAGTGTTCTGGCCTGAAGCCAAACTGTCAGGTGTGATGATAATAAGACAGGAAGGTCATTAAAACTGCACAGTGAGTCAGTGATTCAGCATTAACAAAGTTCATTCTATATAAAAAAGTTCAATTCTAAAACATTATATGTCATTTTAAGAGCAAAAACATCATCACCTGAAGTTGAAGGGCCAATCAGGAAGAAAAATGTCATCATTTTGTCAGCAAAGGACATAATTTTGCTGCTGTCCTTCAAACTGATTTGTAATTTTCTCCCAGTTTTGTGCTGTCAATCATTTTTGCAGATGTAGACGTCACATTTATCAAATGATGGACACGTTGGCACATAACTTTCCATATATGCTGAACACAGCAGTCCCATTAATTGCATTCCCTAAATGAAATGCAGACCATGGGCAATATATCAATGATTAATATTAAACGGGCACTCAAGTTCTAGATGCAAACATCTCTTGTTAGATATAAATAAGTATATCCTTATAGTCGGTGACTCAGTTGTTTCCCATTGTGTTGTAAGTTTTTTACCCTCACCTATGCTCAGGAAGTGGGCAATGGTACATTTTACAGCTGCATCATTATATATATATGAGTAATGGGTCAAACGTCTTTATGTACCCTGCCAACTTTAGATTCACTTACAGCTGTAGCAGGCAGCTATTTTCAGTAAAAAAAAAAAAAAAAGCTCCAGTAAATTCACTGTGTGCTACTTTCCCTGCAGCAAATAAAGTTAGGAATTAGCTGCTGAACACAGGAAGAGTTTAGGAAGCTAGTTATCTCTCAATTGGTGAACACCAAAGGAAAACTAAAAGAAGAATGAATATTGCACTTATATTCATCAGGTTGACAGAAGCAGGACTCTAAACGAATGCTAATGCTAATGTTACATGTCTGCTGGATGTGTAAAACGGCCAGCTAACTTGCTAACAGGTTAGCCGCGTCAACGTTACAGGGTCATAATCTGTGTTATTTGTCAGTTGTAACCCTACGTGGCTTTAAAAACTGATCAAATATGCAGCTTTAAGCATCTACAGTATATTTAACTAAGTGAACAATGATGTCATTAATGCTAATGTGTCTGCTAACAAGCAGCTGCTAGCTTGTAACAGTTAGCATCCATGGCCACCATGTGTTTCATTAGTCCTTCATTTTGTGACCTGCAAATTATGGGTCAGTGTCTTCCTTTGTGTGGCCGTAATGAGATATTGGACCCAATACTGTCAAATTAAACACCACCAGGCTCAGCAGCTTAACTCAAGAGCAGGTAAATCTATGGATAAGTTCTTCAATTACCTCTCACTTCTTAGACCTGGTTGCCACTTAAAACTATCTCCCGATGCCGTGGCTAAAAACTGTGTCAACACCACCACAAGTAAACGCAAATAATGGGACTTTGACCAGAATTTAGAATTTCTAATCATTCCTCAAATGAATCTTTGTATAGGCTACATTAACAGATCACTCTTTCTCCTCTGATTGCAGGTGTGTTTGTTGGAGTGTGAGGGTCACGTCTCCTCCTCGCTCACATGGGAGGTGTGTAAACGTGCTGTGAAAATGTCGCGCCATCCGATGTTTCCTGAGGGAGGCGCTCTGCTCAAGAGAACAGGAGAGGAGCTGGAGCTGACCTCTCTTGACCTGAACTCTGACAGTGAACTGCTGCAGTCTGCAGCCGCAGAGCGTCTCCAGGAGGGGGATCGGGATGAGACACCACTCGAGCAGCGCAGTGTCCAGTATGACTCATCACTGCTGGAAACCTCTGAGGAGGGGGAGGGCCTGCAGGGCCTGGATCTCAGTCTGCTGGATGAAGAGATGAAGCCGAGGGAGGAGAGGAATGCGGAGAGTGACAGCCAGCTAGGAGGGGAAGAGGGTGACACCTCAGAGTCTGTCACCTTATCCAAACGCTTTGGTGGCTTTCAGAGAGGGCGCCATGGGTACAGGAAGCTCATTGGCTCACCCATGAGGCCCTTACAAAAGCGCTACGGCGGCTTCATAGGCGTCCGGAAATCTGCCCGCAAATGGAACAGTCAGAAACGGGTGAACCAGCTGCTCAGGCAGTACCTGGGCATGAGGAGCAGCCGCAGCGGCAGGCTCAACAGCATCCCCGTAACTCGGGTTTGGAGGCAAAACAAACTGTAACGTGTTTCTGTTGCTCTCACAGTATCCTGCCCCAGTTACCTCAACCAATCAATCATGTTTTCAGCAGCTCACGCCAGTTTGAACTGTGACGTCGTCATCGTCATCGGAAGAACAGACTCCGCCATCTCGCTGCACCTCTCTTCGTGTCTCTAAGTAACAAGGAATGTTTTGACCGTGATGTCCTTCTTATTAAGCATATTTACATGCCATTCTGTGAAATAAAAGAATTAGAGAAGTGCAATTGAATATATTTTTGTGTGTTGGTATAATAAAAGGGGCCAAATGAGATTGGAAAACTGGTTCACTGCAAGGTTTTTCAGACCTGAGGGTGTGACATTTAAAAAAAATCATATTGACTGCACTTTCATACATGTGTGGATGGGACTTTTAATTATGGCTTCAGCAGTTGTTGTTTTTTTTTGCACTCTGTAGTTTGTCTTATGAGGGCGATAACTGATGTCCAGCTCTCATGAAATGGACGTATGTCTTTTAAACAAATCATGTTGGACAGGTCTGTAACTGCTAAGCTTCCCACATGTCAGAGCAGACACAAATAGCAGAAGCAAATTGGAAGTGGACCAGCACTGTGCTTTTAAGATGGTTCATTCAGATGTAAATATGGTGACAGTGGGATTGCTGGAGCACAAACTGTTTATTACTGGTATGAGAATCCAATTTTCTGCTAAAGGCACTTAATTAATTTAACACAAAAGATGTAAAATTGGTTTTTCTGGACTCAAACTCACCAAAATTCTGCATCTCCTCAAAAAAACAAAGAGCCGTGTTGCCATTGCTTCATTCTGAGTATTGACACACAAAAAAATGTCTTTTTCCTGTCTATTGCTTTCTGATTTTGGCCATTAAGTGGAATTTGTCAATGCAAACCTTGCAAGTGATGAGTTTCTCTTGAGGAAATGAGCAGCAGGTTGACAGGTTTCCTTATGCTCCTCTCAGTGGAACAATACTGTCCTCTAGTGTCTGAGGAACAAACATGTTGCCCTTGGATACTGACTTGGGATCAGAAATTAGAAATTAGCATGGCTGATATGGCTCATACTTAACTTACCTGTCCATCACAGTCAAACAAAGACATCAGAAGAAAAAGTATTGGTAGTGTCTGTATGACACCTCATAGTTCATCATATTTTCCAACCATCTAAGAAACTGTATGAAATTATTGTGGTGGGGTGGGGAGGGGGGCTGAACTTTGTTTTAAAAAAGCAGCGTTACTAATATTTTCTTTGGACCCTCCCCCTTAAAAATTCCTAAAAAAATCTAAATATATATTAATAAATATAAATTGGCACAATTAATTTCACTACTGATAACTAAAAGAACAAAAGCATTCAGAACTGTTAGTGAATTAAGCACACTGAAATTTAAAGTGAAAAGGTTTTTATCTTTTGACCTATTTTAAATCAAATTCTTAGATATGATTGGATCGCTCAGAGGTGGGTGTGGCTTAGTGGATGTGGTGACGGGACACAGCTGCTTTCACAGTTTTACCTGATGAAATCCAACCACACACCTGCGACTCACTAGCTAACGCAGTATTATCCGATTGTTGGGACTAGCTAGCCAACCAAAATATTTATTTGGATGAATTTATATTATATTAGAAGTGGAATTGTAAATTGCCTAATATTGTGACAAACAACACAATGTTAAATATTAATGCTACTTGATTTTTGAAGAGCTGCTTAAAAATGTTATTACTGTCACTGAATGAATAAAATAGGTTCAATTCTGACCGTCCTTCCCCTCCAATAACTTTCATACAGTCCCTGACTTTCCCTGTAATTACAGAAAGGAGGGAGCAATAATTTACAGAGTTGCCAAGGTGGAACTCAGAAGTAAAAGGAAACTAATCCCCAGTCAGTCCTCAAACATTAAACATCTGCAGAGCTGTTCACGTCACTTTGCACTTAAGTGCATGAATCTGGAAACTTCCAGGGTCATTGGGTGTGTACTGCACCGTAGGATGGGAAAGGAGGTCTGTTAATGACACAAGCCCCGAAAACCATCTTAATGTACCATTGAAGAACGGAGGAATAGGATGAACTGTGCATGTCAACTATGGTCAGTATTATCCAGAAAAGGTTGTTTCTGCTTGGGTGAAAAAAATATGGTCATTTGTTCTGTCGTCAGGATATTTAAGTAGGTCACAACCATTCATTTGCATCTTAATAGTGTTAACTAGTGTTTGATTAAGAGATGTAATAATGTATGCATATGAGTGTGTGGGTGATTTCAGAGTGTGTGTGTGGGTGTGTGTGTGTGTGTGCACGTGCATGTGTGTGTGCTTGTGTGGTTCTGTCGACCTCGACACAAAAAAAAAATGAATTTGTGAATACAGTGTACATTTCAGACCACATTTCTAACATTAAACCATTGTTCTGAGTCTTCATACAAAATGTGTATAGAGAAAACTACAATAAAATAGTTTGCTATTTCTTTTGTGGACTGTCATGCAGAAGAAAAATAACAAAAAAAAAAGCATCTCAAATTCTCAGTGCTTTTTAATGTGTCTGACAATATATTTCCTCTTTTTTATTGCTATTACAAACTTTTTCTCCTAATGCTAGTCCCATCACTATGACTCCATAGCTTCATGGGTAAAACCTTACAACACTGGTCGTATGCCAACAACACGGGCAGGAAGGAAATCCATTTCATTTCATGGAAGGAACTTGGTTGAGTCAAACCAAATATAGCTTATTCTTGTGAGTTTATATTCCAACAAAGTGCCAAAAAACATGAATATTCCAAAAAATAATCTGCCCAATACATGGGCTGAACAAGACGATAAAAAAAAGGTATAAAATACTTGTATGTAACTCAAAGCACACAATATAATGTACATCATAACCACTGTGTAACCACTGGAAGAGAGGGTTGGAATAAAGAAAACAGCCAAGTAGCAGTCTAATAAAGTGGAGCTACAGGGGCAGTAATATGACCTTTGGATAAAGTAGGAGAGTATTGTAGGCTTAGCACATCACATGGTCAAAGTCAGTCAACGGTTGGCACCATCGCAGACTTCAGTCCTCAGGATCAAGTTACAAAGATACAGAAAACTCATTTTGCATTCCTTTAGGAAAAAAACAAAACAGGCTGAAAGTAAAAAAAGACACATGTAATAAAAGAACTGTTGTTTTTCTTGATGGCTCTCAGGCCCTGATTTATCTCCTCTTTTTGATAAAAGTCTCTTTTATCACTTATCCAACCGGCCACCTCTTTGTCTCTCACGCTCCCTCTCTCATCATCACACAACTGTTTTTAGTCAGGGAAGCGCTGGCAGGCTTTTTTCCAGCGGCAGGCGGTGCACCACTGATCCTTGCGCTCCACCCCGTACACCTTGCGGCATTTCTTGGCCTCCCCGCGACCCTTCCTGCACACGGAAAGACACAAATCGTGAGGACGAGAGGTGAAGGCGCTACCACACATACTTGAAGTGATCAATTTATATAAAAATGAGAGCGAGGGGAAAATAGACTGATAACAAATGAAGAGATGATCGAATCAATTTTATCTTCCCAGGTCGAGCCATGGAAATGTGATTTTACAGACAGTCTCACAGTGAGGGATAAAATGACACCCTGGAGGAGACAGATAGTGGACAGGAACCAAATCACTAAAAAGTATAAGGCACCTTCCTGATAGTTGCTGCTGTGGCCTGATGCTTAATCTTCATCTAAACAGCAGCATCTTAAAACCCTGTTATCACTTCCAAACTGATTGACAGGTCTTTTGAAACACATACAACTAAGTCTAAGTTGTTGCTGTTTTTGGGAGGTATTAAAAGTTTGTTTAAAACAATAATGTTGGAGTAAAACATGCATATTTTTCTTTTCTATTTTTGTCCATTTTATGCCTTTTTAAGATAGAGATTAAAGTCTAATGATGCACATCAGCTAAATACGATCATTAGCTCCAAGTCACAATGATGGATTTCCATCAACAGCTGAATGAGAGGTCTCTTGAGAAAACTGAAGTAAAAATGTGTTCATTTATGGGAGTCACGTGTGGAAATTGTAAACATTATTAGAGAGAGAATAAATAAACAAAATCTCAAATAATGTTTGTAATGGCCTGTAACATTATAGGAATAAAAATAACAGTAAGAAAATCAACTTTCAGAAACATGTTTGCATGATTAGCTAACTACTGGATGGCTTATCATAATTTTCTCAACACATAATTGTAATACTTTTGTTTAGCCCTTACATTTTCATGTAGTAGCATTATCAGCTCAAAATTTCAATTTGAAAAAATAATGACGCTCCCATTAACTTGGTGTTTACTTCATCAGCATGTTAGCATTTAGCTCAAAGCACCACTGTGCCAAAGTACAGCCTCACAGAGGCTTAGCATAGCAGAAGACGGTAGGTAGGTAGGTCTCACCTGAAGGAGCAGTGAGTGCGAGAGGGCGACGCGCTCATAGTCTGCAGCCTGTTCTGTTGGAGCCACTGTTCCCCAACGCTGACAGACCGGCAGCGAGGCTTCACCATCTGAGGAGAGGGAAACCACAGAATAAAAACAGTATGTACTTGGATGCAGTGAGAGTTGCTTGTACCATGAAACTTCTGGCTTTTTTTTTTTCCAAATTGACTGAGCTGTTGCACACTAATAGTTAGATACTATCAGCGTTTTTTGAAATCAAAACAAATATTGTAAAAGTAAAAAGAAAGCAGATTTATGACAGTTGTAAAAGCAAATGAAAAAATAAAACCTGAAAGAGACAGCTAACAGACAAGCAGATAAACACACACATACAGACAGCTAGTGACAGTAAACCCACCGGAGTGTTACTGTGGCTGGAGACAGAGGTGGCGGGCGTCCAGCCTTGGCAGCCAGGGCTTCTGGGGGCCACAGATACCTGGATGGGGCTACAGGCCTGCAAAAAGCAAAGCAGAGGAGACAACACATGATTCAGCATATCTGCAGGATCTTAAACTGGCTAACTACGTAATTAAGTAAACTTCTTTTTTTCCCCTACTGGACTAAAAACATTTAAAGTTGATTTAAATGATTTCTTTGCCAGTGGGGGCAGAAGAAACAAGCTAACGGTTAATACGGCTAACGTGTAAGCTAACAGAAACACATCCAGCTGTCACAGAGCAACATTAGCATTCATTTGGATTTATGTCTGTGACCACCAGACTACTGTACGGCCTATATCCACTTTCAATTTTAGCTGTTTAAGTCACCGGCAACTCAAGATACTACGATGTTATTTAGAGTCAAGTAGCGACATATCGAGGCTTCCGGCGGAACGCAAGATGGACGTTGTGTCAGACCGGTGGAGTGAGGCAGGTGCACACCGTATTCCACACCCGGCGCGCGGGGGAAACACGAGGGCAGGGACACGTGGTAGGCCTAAAGCTGTTGTTTGTGCATAGTATCCTGTTGTTTTTACGCATTTCAGACCTGTTCCCGCGCGGGGTTGAAGCACGTCGGTCGTCGATAGGAAATAGCTCGACGTAGCAGGTATTTTAAGGTGTAGCTATGGAGTTTTAATATTAATCAGTACGAATTTTAATCCTTTTATTTTTCTAAATATAGTGTTTTATCTTGTTTCCCTGCGAAAACATAAGAGATCCATTAGCTGCTGTTGCTGTGGAACTGTTTTTTTTTTTGGTTTTGGGGTTGTTTGCGGGGTTTTTTTTTGTGTGGTCCAACCTGGCAACCGAGCCAGTATAGCGGGCAAAAAGACCAGTGTATTGCCTTTGGAAATGACAAGTTCTCAATTCTTCTTTTTTTTTTTCTTTAAATGTTTGTTTGTATTTTTAGAAAGCTGTTTACTTCCCCAACTATGGCTAACTTCGCTCAGGTCAAATCCCAGTCGGCGGTCTGGGCAGGCTTAAGGTGTGAAGTGGGTTGTTCCTTAAATAATCACCTGTTAACTCAATAACGTGTGCACAATTTAGTACTGCAGTGGATAAGAGTTTGTAGTGGAGCTTAGTTCCTGTCCTGTCAGTTTTAGCTGGGAACTCACTGAGGAGGTCGAGCTGGGTGAAGATGAATTGTTAATCGTACTTCTTTTATAAATATCTCTATTTTTACCTCCTGGGTTGTCCTTTCTTAGCTGGATACCTGTAGTGGGTGTAACACCTTTTTATTTTTATTTATTTTTTGTTGAAAAAACTAATAAAATACAGGACAGTGAACCCACCTTTAGTTAGATGTAAAGTTTACAGCTGAACATACTATCCAACTCACACTGACCATCAACTCCAACACAGTAATTCCCAAACCTGACGTACATATTTTGTTTTCCTCTTTCTGTCCATTTGCAGTGACAAACAGGCAAAATGAAAAATGCCTCACATTAAATCTTTTCCTGTGAAGTTGTTCCTACTCCCTCTGTTCTACTTCTCCTTCCTGTGCAACCCTGAACCCTCTGAACAAACATGCCAACATTCCTGACGCCCCTCCCCACACTGTAGACACAAGTAGATGGGGTGGAGAATTTGCAGCCTGAACATGATGGTTACAAATCTACACTGTGTTAACCCTGTAAGTGACAGTCAGTGTGCCTGGATCAGAAACAAAAACACATTTAACGCTGTGGTCAGGCATTTCAAACCACAAAGCCCCCAGCAGCCGTGGCACACACACACACACACAAACACTGACCCACGATTCAACCCACACCTGTCTCACTTTGGCAGCACCGCGCTAGATTTCTGCATCCATGAGGAAATTAAATACAAATGTGGTACAAAAGTTTCTAAAATCTGTATCATAAGAATTATGTTTACTATATATATATTATATATATATATATATTAACTGTCATGGTTGTATTTTAAGTTTGCTGGGATATTTTTTTTCTTTTAGAAAGTTTATAGGTCGAATCAGTTGAAAGTGGCCATAGACAAATGGCCATCGAGACCTAACTGCTGCACGACTACTCTGGAAGAATTCATGCAGTGTTTTTCTGCCTTTTACAGGCTGCTTTGAGTCTAGTCTCCTTGGGGGAGCGAGCAAGCCGACAGCTTGGTCTCTCACTGTCACAAAGCATCCATTTACATGCTCAGTGGTACAGGGTAAATGCAGGTCACCAGTAAAATGTGCTGCTTTGTGATGCATAAACAAAGTTGTAGCTCATTGGCTCGTTAGAGGGGTATCTGCACGGGGGCGCCGGCTGAGGAGGACCTCTGGAACAACACGATGTAACATGAGACGTCTGCACAGAAACTCCAGTAACATGACGATGAAGTCCTTTTCTTTCTTTTTTTCTTCTATTCAGCAGAAAAAGAAAAATCTAGATACATGTGTTTTTGTTTTCATTTACAGCCTGACTTCATGGAAAAGATGATTGAATTTGGGAAATGGGAAACTGTGCTGTTCGGAAAGTAAATTCCTGTAGTCACACTAAAATCTACGCCTGACATTTAATAATTCATGCTAACAAGGGCCGTGCTGTCTCCTTTCATCGCTCTCAAAACATTTCTTCCCCCCAAAACACCCCCTTGTTCCAGATAACTCAAATTCTGGGAAGTAAACAATTGTTTATTGAAATTAGGGCTCTTCAGTGCCAATACTTAGACAGGTACTTTGTGCCAAAACTCAATATAAGCTGAAAAATTCCCAGAAATGAGACGGACTGGGTGTTTTCTCAGAATAACTTCCTGTCAGGTTTGAAAACAGCCTGAAAACAGTATTTAGACAGAGAAAAAGCATTAAAAGAATATTCATTTAAATTGGGACAAATTTAATTATTTCCGGTGGGCGAGTGTCATTCCAGGTTTTACAGCTGGTGGAGCACATCTACATCCACCCACACAACACTAATTAATTATCTGGTCAGCCGTACGATCCAGAAAAGTAATAATAAAACAGTGTTACTAGTTGTGCTCTATGTTATTAGCTGGATGTGACAAATGTTCCGATGTTATATTATAAAAGTTTTCAATTCAATATAAAGTGATCTGCATAGAAATGAGCAATATCAAAGAAAAAAAACTTAATCTACCAATGAAGACGGAAATGAGGATGAAAGCTCTGGGGAAAAAAAGTCAACAAGCAAAGCTTGAGTTAAAATAAAAGTTTGACAATTTAAGAGAAAGGTGGGAAGATTGCTATTCTCACGTAGCCGATTAGATTAGCATAAAGACTGGAGGCAGAGTGTTACAGCTAGCCTGGCTCTGTGCAAAGGTAACGACGCCTACAGCTCCTAAAAATGGGGTGCAGATATAAAAAGTAAATGTAGCATTATGTTTCCGAACACTGTATTTTTGATATGTTTTGGTTTATTTGCTGACCTTTAGTAGAAATAACATAATTTCCAAATGATCCAGATCATTCAATTTAAATTTATTGGATTTAAAGGATATATTGGCAGCCCAACATTATAAGACATTAATATTTAATTTGGCTTTGAACTGATGTATTTTTCCTATCTTAAAGTTAGCTGAGCACACACTCTTTCTGTCAGTGCTTGATAGTCTTCTCAGTCAACAGGCCAAATCCCCTCAGAAACCGAAAGCAATACTGCTGCACCCACCTGATAGAGATGCTCTGAGTGGATCTGCCAGAAGCTGCTGGGGGCTGACTGGCTGAGTGGACTGGGCCTGCTCGGGCCCGGCCCGGAGCTGGAGTTGGATCTGGGCCTGTGTGCCGGGGGGATCTGGAGCCCTGAGGCTGGGGGAGAACCACAGGAGGCCCAGCTGAGATGAGAGGACGAGGCCTGGCCCAGAGCCTGCTGGGAAGGAGCTGGAGCGGAGTTGGCATCCACGGTCTCACAGGAGATCTTGGTGTAGTAGAAGTCCTCCTCCCTCTGGGACTGATCTGATCCACTGCTGTGTGTGTGTGGTGGCAGAGACAGTGGACACACAGAGAAAGAGTGATTTGTTTGTTTGGAGTGATACTGAAAGCAGGACTGTCTGTGTCCCAGATGTAAAATCTCAAAAATGTTTCATCACTTCCCCTAACCAAGTCAGAGAAGTCAGTCGGTAAAAATTTCATCCCTTCTTGTTTTTTTAATGTTGTTTTCCAGCTCAGAAATGTTCCACAGTGCAGAACTGTCTGGTTTCCACTACAGCCCAGACTACAGTGGAGAAACAGCAAAACAATGTAGACATGAAGCTGAAAACTTGCACCATACCCTTTAAGCAACCGATTGATACAATTCCCCCAAAAATATATTTTTTAATACACCTCTGAACTGGTGTTGTATTACAGAAACTGCAGTTAACATCATGTAGTATTAAAGGGAATAGCACTGAGCTTGGAACCTCAACTAAGTTTGCCTAAAACCTGTACTAATACCGTTGATTAATTCTTTAAACAGAAAGTTCCTGATTTAGATCTTAATTTTGCAGACACACAATATATAATATATTAAATTTCTGCCATGGCTTGCAAGATTTACTGCGTAAAAAATAAAAAATTAATTGGTACTTGCTAATTCACTTGTTCTAATAAGTAAAAAATTCTGATTAAAATAAGCAAATATTAATGTTTAAATAGGCTGATACAATTAATTTCTTATATTTTGCCTCATTTAGTTAATAAAAGTTAAACTTTTTTATTATCCTATGTTATTGGAGGGACTGGTGCAGTTTCAAGGGATGGTTGGCAGAGCGTCTCTTTTGTAAAAAGTAAAACGAGCTAAGTGAAGTGTGTGTGTGTGTGTGTGTGTGTGTGTGGGGGGGGGGTTACAGTCTCTAAGGATCACAAACGGAAACATTGTGGTATCTGTACCTAAACTGAGGTACTGTTTCAACACTAGTATAAAATATTTAGGGAATATCTCTCCCTATAATAAGCATGTAGCTGAGATGCCAGCTCACCCCAGATGTAGCACGCGGATGTGTCGTTTTATTCCGACTGAAGATGTGAGCACCTTGCCACAACTGGGCCACAGACACTTGTACACGCCTCTGAAAGAGCTCTGTGAGTGAGAGAAAAACACGCAGCTGAGGTAAAGTACAGGTGAGAGGCAGGATGGAAAAGGAAAGGGAACAGTCTCGGTCTTTCAAAACATTACGACATGATCTCCAACATATTGTAAATATTTTTTTCAGGGAGCGTGTACCTTTGGCTTTTTGGCATTAAGCTCCTCTCCCTGCTCCAGCTCCATGTGTAGGCCGTCATCGGGGCTGCTGTCCATCTCGGTGACGGACGGCGAGGGGGTGGGGCTCACGTTACCGTGGTCCCAGCTCCAGTAGCCGCTGCTGCCGCTGTCGGACAGCTCGCCGCCACCACACTCCATGTCAGCTGACGATGATGAGCCAGCTGGAAAACAGGAGGATTCACGGTAAGTTTTTTTTTTTTTTAATGAACTACCTCTTGTCCTCTCTCCCCCACTCTGTGACCTATTTTCTCCACACGCCATCGTCTGTTTTCACCCGAAAAGTGGTGATGCTGGTTTAACCCTGCACAAACTCACTGTCAATAGCTGACTGTGGAAATATACCTTATGGTTTAGATTTCAAACATCCCCAGCGTCTTTGTGATGAGAATAGACACTGTGCATTTGGGACGGCTCTCTGCTGCTTCCTCTCTGCCCATCCTACAGAGAACAGCAGGTGTCCCATGCCGGTGCCAAGGTTGTGACGTGCGTCTATTTACTGAGACACTTTTACCATCATTTTACTCCTTCTGTTTACTCGCTCTTTGCTCCATTACCTATTTAGTGATATTTTGTTTATCGTCCTGCCAAAAAATTTAAAATAGCAGCTTTAAAAATAGCAAATCATCTATTTTTTACTTGGCTGAATAAGCTTATATTAATCAAGGTTAAACAAGGAAAATAGACCTCATCAAAGATTAAAGACGTGCCCAGTTTTTTATTAATACACAGGAATAGAACAGTGATGATTGATTTATGATTTATGAATGATTTATCCGCTGAGCTTGCAATAAGAGCTTGTGACCACAAAATTTGAAATAAAAATGATCACGATTTAATTGATACAGTTGAACAGTTATAGTCATGCCAGTGTCTTTATTTATCTTGTGTATCGAACTGCAGGATTTTCACAACTCCTCTGACAGTGAGACCACATAGGTTTTGCAACAAGAAATAAGACATGTTCTCACAAATGAAAAGTTGAACAATAAAACTCAACCTTGCTCCAAGTTGCTGAGTTTAGCTTGTGTTAGCAAACTTTAGGTAGATACTGCTGTGTAACTGACATTACTGAGTCAGTTTCCTGGTTTTAAGACTCTTTTCTACCTGCTACAGCTGTTACATGTTAGCATTTATTATTCTACAAATGCCACAGTGACAGTATACGCTTATATATAGTATAAAGCTTTAGTAATGGTTAATGAACCATGTACTAGATCTTTATAGATAGCAATTAATATGAAAAGGTTTTGGGTTGCCAGCTTCTGGAAACTTAGACAAAACATTTATGACAAATGGCTTTGTGGTTTATTAGTAAGTGAGAAACCAACGTTTAAAACTGCTCTGTTATCAAACAGGAAAGATAACCTCCTGCTGATTGGACATAACAACCCAAAATGTATTCTTAATCAGATCTTTTAAAGGATCTATGAAGCATTAATAAATGTTCGTTTAACCATTAATAAAGCCATTTATGTCTGCAGTGTGTGTTGGCAAGGTGAGACAGACCTGGTCCTGGATCTGTCTGTGCAGGACTCTGGATCACGGGGCTACAGGACAGGCTGGTCAGAACCATGGCGGCCATGATCTCGTCCATCTCCACTGACTCTGGGCTGCGGAAGCTGGAGACGACGTGCAAGAAATAACTTTAGCCTGGTGAGATAAAGTCCACACTCACACTCTTTACATTGCTAACTACCCCTCACCTGTATGGTGCTTCTCGAGTAGTCGACGCTCTGCCAAGGTGCACTGTGGGTCCCACATTTTGCAAGGGAGCGGCCAGGTTGCTCCAGCCTCGCTCAGCCTCCCTCTGCAGGTGAACGGATGTTTTGTTCTTGTGATGCCCACTCTCTATGAAAGCGTTCTCAGTCTGCACACAGCTCTGTGTATACACCTTTAAACGGAAGTAGTAAAATTATGAGGTCCAAGTTCAAGTCAGCAAAAGTTGTGCCTTGTTCCTGTCAACATCTGCCTCCCAGACCCGGACAGACATACTCTGTTGGGTTAATGTGTTTACATGAGTCTTTGATACCTCCAACTGAGTCTTGCTGTTGCCATGAATAAAAAACTTAACAGAATATTTCCTGTCCATCTGTGGCGTCCTGGTGGCCGACACCACGGTCTGCCAGTGAAACAGTATGAAAGGGAAGCGGCTGCCAACCTCTGACCAGGTAGTACATTACATCTAACACAGTGGAAGGAAATGATGATCTCATTTGTGTGAGCACTTCCTTTTTCTCAAGAAAGGATTTAAACTGTGGAGAATGCATGTTTTTATTCTCATGAAAATGCACCTGTAACGTGGCGCAGGCCTAATAGCAGCAGTTTGCATGCTAATTACTGCAGACAGGTGTTATTTGGAAGTTTTAACTGAATGAATTAGTAAGTGAATGAATAGGTGGAGGGTTTGATGACTGACAAAAGTATTGCAATAACACCACAATTAACAAATAAATACTAGGAAAACAATACATCCCTCACAGTCAACTTACAACAGTGTGCTGAATGTCGTTGTTGTGCGTCGTTGCAGAGATGCAGGTCTGTAGTCCGGACGGACACGCTGTCGTCACGCCTGACCCTGCTCCAGCTCTGTACTCAGGCCCCATAGCTGCCATGGTGCTGCTGCACACAATGAGGGGACCCGGCACAGTGTCACTCCTTCCTGCAGACAAGACGACGGGGATGGCCTGAGATTTGATCAATCCGATTATCTGACTTCTTCTGTAAATGTTTCTACAGCAGTGAAATACTCCTAAATGTGACTATTCCAGAGATTTAGTACTAAACTTTGGTAAAATTTTAAACTTTTAGTCTGTTTTCCCATAATTTCCCGTAATGCAAATCACTGGTGTCTTCCATCTGATCCCTTCCTGCCCCCGAAATACCCACTTAAAGACAAGTTCACATCTCTCGTTGGTAATGCACGCCTTCTGTTCCAAAGCTAAAGCTAAGATAACCCCAAAGACATCATCAGGATTAAAACAACAACTCTGTTAATGTCATCAGGATAAAAAATAAAAAAAACACACTGATGACATCATCAGGGGTTTTTCCAGACTTGATAACGCTCCTCCATAACACAGAGGACAATACACAACAGTTTTCACAAGCAGACTAGTACTCCTCATGATGAGTAAACTGACCTTCATGTGTAAAACTGATGGAGTGCTCCTTTAAACTGCAAGTTTATATCACTTTTATATTATATAATATTCCCCACTTCCTTACCCCACTGTCCTTAAGTAACTTCCATTGTAATATTTGTGCAGCTTCCTTCTTAAAAGCATGAATTGATGAAGGCTGACCGTTATTTTCAGCTATTGAATGCATCGAATGATAAATATTATACCACCTATGATGACTAAATATGAGTATTTAAAGAGAATGCAACTTTGCCAACGAGTATGTTGGCAAACAGTCATGCACTCACTCCATCTCGCATCTCTGGGCCTGACAGTGCAGAGCAAAAACACCACGGGAGATTTGAAAATTATTGCAGGAATTTGAAGTTAACACAGACTTGTGAGGATTTAGATTCTGGCTGAAGCCAAATCTTAGCTGTGGTTTTGTTGTCTACTCTGTTAACGCTGATAACACGTTCCACAGACGTAATCTGACGTTTGGGTGCATTCACTGTGGCCTGTCGCCCATAGAGGTAAAATGGGGCCAATGTTGCATTCAGGAAACGTAGGAATAATCCTGATCCTTGCAATGGTTCAATGGCTCAAAGCAGTGACTTTTTAGTGTTCACCATCCATAATTGACTTCTTGAAACATCAAGATGTATTATAATTTTCGGCTGTCAAACTTGATTACTGGAGTTTCCTGAAGAAATTTGACGGTTCTGATCAGCTGTTTCAAACTAGAACCACATGATCAAATGAGTCACAGTAACTAAATGAGTACAGTTGAGTTCATGTTACAGCAAACTAAAAACAACTTAACAAAAAAATTGATAACCTATTAATCTTGTAAATAGCAAATATGTGTTGTTTTTACATTTTAAAATTTGGGGATTTGCTGCTTTTCTCAGTTTTACTTTGTTACAAACTGAATATATTTACATTTTAGCTTGATATTTGGGAAAAACCTATTTTTGTGAAGCGCAGTTTCATTATTTTCTTAAGAATAAATGACTTTGATTGATCAAAACATTGACAGATTAATCGAAAATGAAAATAACTTTGGTGCAGCCTCAAATAACAATAACACAAATGTTTTATCATCTTATGCTTCTCATTATTGTTAATAAAAATAAATAAAAGCCAAAAACAATACAACAACACAACAAAATAAAACAATATACTGTCACACAAATAAAACCAGTACTTATTGTACTGCTTTAAATTGTATAGAATGGGGCCGTTTCAAAAAGAAAGTAATGTAAATTTAAAAAAAAAAAAAAATGTTAATTTTTATAACCTCTTATGACAGGAATTCACTATTATTACTGACGTGAGTTGGAGGTCCAGTGCCAAGCTCTCAAGTTGTTTACTCCTTGAAAACCTTCGTCTAACAGTATTTTCTACAAAGAAACTGTAATATCCAACTATTTCCTGTGGAACCGAACGCAGCATAAAGCCCGATTTTCCCCACCTTTCCACCAATCAGCGCCGAGTTTCAGTAGTAAACAAGCGGCATAGTGTGGGCGGGGCGCCGCAGCTCATTGGCTGGACTGTCAGTTTCAGATACACACCTCCTTTCTGACAACGTGTTCAGACACGAGTTTCGCCGGGAGGGACTGAGCTAGACGGGGGAATATTATTGAAAATAACCTGATTTTTGACAGAAAGTAAAATAAAAAAGCGCTAAAAAAGTCAAATGACAAGTCGTGCAGGGATTCATAGAAGAATATAACTGCAGTATGAGTAAACACTGCTGCTAAAATAATAAAAAAAATAATGAAAATAATAATAACGTCATCCACCCACTGATGTAGTGGAAGTATATACAATCGAAACCAAATTTATAGATGCATTAATGGCGTCTGTCGTGTACTTAAATGCACAAATTTCAATAGAGGGCAGTAAAATGTGTGTGTGTTGGTTTTTGTAAGTGGGCTACTGCACATTTGATCCAAGTTACACACGATAACCGGAAGCGGGTTATACTTCAAATGAATATATCGAGCACTGTTTATAGTGATGGTTATGATGTGTTATAGGATGATAACCGATAGGAAGTCACAGTTTATCTTGCCTCAACTACATCACTGATCTCCACCCGGCAACGGAGATTGAGATCAGGAGAAACACCCCCCTCCTTCTCCTCCCCCCCTCCCCCTCCCCCCTCAGCTCACATCGCTGCAAAACAAAAACACAAACGTAACAAAAACAGTATGTTTTAATGTACTCACTCGGTCGGTGAAGACCTCTGTCCTGTCCGTCCCGTCGGAGCTGCAGCAGCGGGGTCGTGTAGCTGCCTGGTTGTCCCGCCGCTCGCCGGCTCTTCAGTCTGCCGGGGGAAAAAGGGGGTTGGTCGGTCGCTTACGCGCCTACGTGTGTCTGCTTGGTGGACCAATGCCGGGGGTGACAGCTGGGCAGAGCGCAGAGATATCAGCCTGCAGCGCGCCGTGCACAAGAGGATGATCTAGGTGAGGGGTTACCAGAGCAGCAGCAGCAGCAGCATCCTACTCTGTCTGCCTGTTTGTCTGTCTGTCTCAGCCACACACACAAATCTGCACCATTATTCTGATGTCTCTCACAGTCACATGAGCATCAGAAATGATGTCAATGTTTTGGTTTCTGTTCTTAGTAAATAAAGAAATAACATGCACAGATTAGAATTTCATTGTTCAGCATTAAAATGCATTGCAATGAAATTATTATTATTCCATTGCCTTCTTCAAATATCAGTACAAATTAGATATATATGTAATATGCAATATAGATATAATACTAAATGGATAAAATAGGCTATTAAGCAGTCTGTAAAATGCTTTAATGTGATACAGAAAGTGAATGTCTTTTAATTTAATTTAAAAACACACACAAATCAGTGACTGGACACCTTCAAGCACCATTAATTGTTTCAATTAAATGCAAATAGCTCAAACCTAATAAAACCGATGACTGCATGGTAGGCCTATACAGCATATCATCCCCCAATGTCACATGATAAATTGTCCTCATAGACATCAAACACGACTTTTATGGAGTTTCAATGCCTGTGTGTGTGTGTGTGTGTGTGTGTGTGTGTGTGTGTGTGTGTGTGTGTGTGTGTGTGTGTGTGTGTGTGTGTTTGTGTGTTTGAGAGACCGGATTAGTGTTGGCTGTCTGCACCCTTTCCACCAGACATTCAGTCAGCAGGGATTTTGGGGTCTGAGCACCGGCACAGTCAGAGAGAGAGAGAGCGAGAGCGAGAGACAGAGAAAGAGAGACAGAGAGAGAGCAAGAGAGAGACAGAGAGAGAGAGAGACAGAGAGAGAGCAAGAGACAGAGAGAGACAGAGAAAGAGCGAGAGACAGAGAGAGAGAGTGTCCGATCCTAGTCCCAATCTGATTCCTAAACCAGACAGAATTCCTCACCTTCCTATTTCCTATTGCCCTCAGTATGAGGGACTTAATGCCAATAAAGTATCTCTATAAAATCAAAGATTCATGACTAAATAAGCAACGATCAACATTAAAGTTTGAAGACGAAATCCTTAGTTATTATTTATTTTATAGTTTAACATTCAAAAACAGTTAATATGCTTCATCAGGACTGTGTGGGTGTGGGTTGATCAGATGAGACTGACAGTAACCAAACAACCCTGCTTAGTACATAACATAACTTTCTCCTGTTGAGCCCCACCCACTTGAAACCATGACACATAGACACAAACACAGAAATCTGAAAATAACCAAGATGGTGTAGATTTAAGCAGAACACTTTATCTTCCTGTAGGACAACATTACTCATAGTACGAAGGTTTTTAGGGCCTTCAGTTTACGGTGGGCAGAGAAGCCGTATCACTGACATCAGTGTTGTCTCACTTGGGTGTGTTTATTTGGACAGTCAGCAGATTAATATGGCGACGCATGGCAGGAGAACTGGCATTACAAGAACGACAACTCCACCCTACTTTGAGGTTTTGTGACCTTTGGTTCTCTTTGAATTCTCTGCAAACTCAGGTGCCACTCCCATCTCATCACAATCTGCCAGGAGGGCCAACAATGGCTTTTTTTCTTTTAATGTCTTTGTTTCCAGGACAAACAGACCCACAAGTATCATGAATGTCATGCATGTTTACAATTAAGGTAACTCTACAGCCCAGACTTTATCTGTACCTGATGACCAGATCAGGAACAGTTCAGCACCAGACTGAGAAACTCTAGACCAGGCATAGAGGAACACAAAAGAACAAACAGAAAGTTGATCCCTTCATTGATAATGAAAATACAAAGGTTAGAAAAATCCCCTGTTACCACAATTAATCACTGTCAATACATGCAAAACATAACCAGAAACGGTACGATTAAAGGACCGTATTGCACATTTTATCCCCATTTACTACAAATCCCATATATATTATTGGCAAGAGTCTGCTAAATGACTATCATGCAGTGCAGAAATGAATGGAAACCACTGGCTGCCAGGAGCGGTCGGAATAATACATCTAGAGAACTTAAATTCTACAGTATACATTTGAAAATGGCTGCCAGTATTTAAAAAAAAAAAATAGTTTAACATTTTGCAAATACGTTTATTCGCTTTCTTGCCCAAAAGTTAGATGAGAAGGTCGATACCACTTTCCTATCTGTTGGTTAAATATTAAGCTACAGTGCAGCAGCCAGTTAGCTTAGCTTAGCATAAAGACTAGAAATAGGGGAGGAAGGCTAGCAGCACCTTCCAGCACCTCTAAAGCTAACAAATTAACACATGATATGCCATTTGTTTAATTTGTACCAAAACCAAAGGGTGATTATGTCTTGGCAGTTAGAGTACATAGCTCTCCTGTAACACCACATGTCAAATTCATCCTTTAAGCATAGTATAGATTAAACAAATGAGATATAATTAGTTAATTAGTGAGCTCTAAGGGCGCTGGCAGGTTTCCCCCTGCTTCAAGTCTTTGTGCTAAGCTAAGCTAACTGTGTCTGCGCTGTGGCTTCATATTTTAAACCACATGAAAGTTGTATTGATCTTTTTGTCTGACTCCTGGCAAGAGAGCCAATAACCGTATTTCACAAAATGTCAAACTTGATAAGTAAACACTATGTATAGTAAACTAGATAAAAGCTTAGGTTCTTAAACTGTTGTCTCCCACTGCATTACAGTCAGGAAAGAGCTTCATGACAATTACATAATTTGATCAGCTCCCTGTTCACTTAACAGTGAGAAAACAAGAGTGGTAGAAATCAATATGACTAAGTGATAAAGCCAAACAAGCCTCAAATTAACACCTCTCAGCTGAATCTGTCAGGTTGAAACTAACACAGTTGAAAGAAATGACTTTCAACTATTTGTTTATAACTGCTGGTTTTTACACTCAGAGGTAAATAATTTAAGTTATAGTTCCTGTTTTGGTAATGACAGTACAGAGTAGTAAAAACCTGCAGAATCCAAACTCTTCAAAAATACTCAGAAGAGTCGATGACTAGTCAACAGAAAGTCTATGGATGAAACGTTCTTGTCGAATGAATTCAGAGTCTGTAAAATTATGATTTTTTTTTTTTTAAAAAAAGGGTTTCCATCCAGACAAATTGAAGGCCTGACGTGGCAAAGTCAAGGTGTGGATGGTGGCTCGAGCTGGCAGAGGACAGGGCCAACTTTTCCTCCGTCCTCTCTTTTTCCGTCCATCTGTCTGTTTGGGACAATGTCAAATGTGGAAAACTGTGGTTCTGTGAAATGGCGTGTTGTTGAGCGTGATTTGTCCTCTGTCCTGCTTTAGATATTGGGAGCTTCTGTTTTCTGTACTGTGTCTGTCATGTGGCTTCGAGGTTATTGTTCAGGTTACTTAGTTAATGATGCGTAGATTTCTCGAGTGTGCTAGGAGGCATGTTTCTGTGGTCTCTCCATGATGAGTAGGCTGTGGTCCCTGGGTCTGGAAATATAGATCAGAATATGTAAGTGAAACGTAAATGTTACATTGAATGTATTTGTTTACTTATTTTTAATTTATAGAGATCTTACCAGTGGCTCCTCCTGTCTTTGTGCCAGCTGTCCCATTGGCTCCCCCTGCTCCGTCAGTCTGTCATGGAGAAAATCAGGAAGGATTATAAAGATGTAATATGTTCATATGGTAAAAATATGAAGCTGCAGCCAGCAGCTGGTTAGCTTAGCTTAGCATGAGGACTAGACAGAGGAGGAAACAGCGAGCACCTGCCAGCACTAATGTGATAACAAAATGAAACATCTGGCCCAACGTATGCTTGGGTCCTCGGCCCATACGCTTTCACATCTGGGCACATTCCACCTGTTGATTGAAGGCCAGAAGATTTTCTGTGTGTGTGCCTTATTTAGTCCAAATGTGAAAGTAGCATCCTGACAATCAGGCTGCATGTGGGCCAGATTTGGGCCGTGCAACCAGGCGTATACTGGGCCAGAAGAAAACAAGCATGTGGCCCAAGTTCGGGCTGGATTTATTTTGCTATCATGTTACATCTTGTTTGTTTAATCCATACAAAACTAGTGTAACATGTTAGCTTTAAGGGCCACCTCTGAATGCCATCATTATGTTTTGAAGTACGTTTTGTATGTTTTGAAGTCAAGTACGCCACTAATGTAATATCTTAATAAACAGAAGCTGCAGTAATTGGTCGATTCTTTTATCGAAAACTAGGCAAATTTACTTAGAAGTTGACTGGCTAATAATAAAACAGGTCCTCATCACTAATTGACTACATTGTTATCTAATTCTTGTAATGTAGAAACAAGTTTGTGATTGTTTATAGTATAGTATAGTATACAAATACATACTTGTCGTTTAATTTATAGAAAATAATAGCGATTAGATGAAGATAGAACAGAAAGGTTTTCCATATTGTTTGGGACTGACTGACCAACAGATTGAGTTAGGACCTTATTAAGCTTCAAACAAAATGCTTATCGAATTGTCTAACAGTCTCTGGATCCATCTTGACTGTGGAAATAGTGGAGTCCGTGTCCAACAAGTAACTTTCCGAAAAACAGACAATCTGACAGATTGGCCAGGTGCCCAGAGCTGTGAAAGCAGATAAGGTTTGTTCTTCTCTCTCAAACTCCTTAGTATTCATCACATAACTACTTAAGTCATCTTTTGTGCATACATCAGTGCAACACCATGAATGTCCCCAAGCAGAGACGATCTGCATGTACTATATGCGGCTCTTTATGACGGCAGGCTTCTCCCTCTGCCTGGAAACGTGGTAATATGAATACTTTAGCCTTCAAATGGTCTTATGACACTGTTATGATATGATTTATTTTCTTTAAAGCATATTGAGACTTTTATCTTCACTGCAGCTTGCAGCTAAAGATATATTATTTTACAGATAT